CAGATTTTTTAAAAAAGTGAAATTGGGATTGAATCTGTTCTGACCTAGGCTTCCTGATATAGTAAAACACACATGATTAAGTCCAAAAATCAAATTTTTATTTCAAATTATATTCATTCACAGCCTGTAAAGAGTTCTACAACAGGCTGCCGAAATCCTTCAGGATAAGGCTGATAAGCACCCACCTTTATCTTCTTTGAAAATGCTGCCAAAGTCTTAATTGGCAATTAGCTTGGCAAGACCACATGGAGCAAAGAGTCAAAACATATTTCCAGAAGGTAAACTGACCAGCATAAACCAAGTTGCTTCCTGCAAAGGCTTGTGAGCCTTTGTGCAGGGGGTGTAAATGGCATAATTCATGTCATTAATGCAATAAGATCAAGATACTCAGGATGTCATTTGTCCTGCTCCGCTCCAAGAAATACTCATGACACTGTGTTAAACCACAGCCTGAATTGTTGGTTCTGGTTTATGCATTACAAAAACCCAGCCAATGGTAGTTTGTGGAAACTTGTTTACAGAATAGTAAAGTAAATGAACCCAACTATTAAAAGTTTATTCATAACTGTGAAAAACTGGTTTAATATAATTTACAATATATACCTTTCATGTAGCTCTAGCAGTTAGCAGAAGACGATGGTCATTGTAACCTACTGCAAGATTGGGTAAAATTTGTATAACTGACATGTATTACCTTTTTGAAGTGGTGAATGCCTGTCAAGTGTTACATGGAAAGATAATAAGCTCCACATACTAATAATTAAAAGGGTTTATCTAAAAGAATAATTTCACAAAAATATCACCAAGGCATTTTTACCCACTTTGTCCAAGTTTCCACTCTGACTCTCCACTCTTCTTCAGCTGGGTCATGATCTTGTCTGGCTCATATGTAGCACCAGGATCATTTTTCAACGAATAAAGGATTGAAGAGACAATGTGGAAATTTGGACAAGGAGTTTGAAAGATTGAAGGAAAAGAGGGTGGAGGGGAATCTCATATATTAAACCCAAATCTTTGGCATGTCATAACTCAAGTGTCTTGGAGGAAAGACAAATATTTGGCTTCATCTAGTGGTCTTGGCAAGGACAGGAGATTTTGAAGAATCTGGCTGGTCCTGTCAAATGACAGAATCAATAAATTAAGGAAAATGGGATATATTATGTGATGATTTGCATGGGATGTTTGATTCTTTTTTCCTGATACATTTTTAATATGTTTATAGCAATAAAGGTTGAGAGTTTTTAGACTGCGGTTAAGTATTACAAAATTTGTTGTAATATTATGGTAGAAGCTTGTGAGCTTAGAATCTTGGAATAGGAAAAAGCCTTTTGATCCAGAAAAAAAGCTTACAGTAGCAAATATGGGATTCTCCTGCCATCCAGTGGAGATGGAATGTATTTACCAATATAAGAGGATATTCGTAGGTTGAACTCAGGGGTCCTTGGTGCTCTCTGAGCTTGGTTGTTTACTTGCCTACATTTCCTTATCAAATTAGGTAACATCATCAGTGCTACCCTAAAATTTATGCTAACTCTGGCACTGATGTTGTTACTTAGATTGGTAATGAAATGTCTGCAAGAAAGCAACCAATCTTAGAGCACCTACCCAATTGTGTTTAGAATCTAGTCCAGCTACTCAATACTCTGAGGAGTGAGGGCCAGTTGCACTTTGTAATATTGTTATACTTATTAGCTAACATACAGTATTTTTGGAGTATAAGACGCACCAAGATTTTGAAGAAGCAAATTAAAAAAAAAGTTTTTGCACTCTGCAATGCGCCTCCCAAAAACAGCCCATTTTTCACAAAAACTGGTCCACTTTTTCCCCCCAAAAGGGCATGAATAGCCTTTAAGAGGCTTGTAGAGTGCTCCTGGGAAGTGGGAGTAGGGCCCCAAAACGAGCAAAAAGCAAGCTCATTTTTTTGTCAAAAAAGGGTATACATAGGGGGTGGGGTGGGAGCAAAATTGAGCAAAAAACCGGCCCATTTTCCACTCATTTCTGCTCTCCACAGCCCCCAGGAGCACTCTACAAGCCTCCTAAAGGCTATGAATAACCATTTTGTTGAAGGAGATGGGGTTTCAGGAGGCCAAAAATGCTGTATTCAGTGTATAAGACGCACCCAGATTTTCAGCATCTTTTTTGAGGGAAAAAGGTGCATCTTATACTCCGAAAAATACGGTAGTTATCATACTTTGTATTTTAATTTCATTTATTTTTCTCTCTTAAAATGGTGATAAGAGTTTATCAAACCATTACAGACTGGAATATAGGAAACACTTTTATCCTGTTACTGTATGGATTGATTGATAGCTTCTAACATTTATAAACTGAAAAGATAATCTACATAAGGGGATAACTGGGGAATGTCTCCTGATAACAGAAACCTTGTTAGCATTCATTGGTGTCTGGTCTGTCCCTTCATGAACTCCAAACAACCTTTGTTTCTTATTAACATCTTAAAATTTACACCCCTTCTATCATCAGATTCCATGAAATGAATATGTGTGGTACTATGGGATGCAAATCATGTTTGACTATGTGTAACTGATTTCTTATGCAAAGGGGAAGTTACTTTTGTCCTGTCCAATCATCTTTTCTCCTGCATTTTCTTTTATGTCTTAACTATAAAAGGGAATGTTAGATGGGTGCTGAGGTTCCCTCTTTGAATGAGAGGAATCCCTTTTATTAAAATATTCTAATAAATTGTAATTAAATAGACTTCCTGTCTCATTGGAAAATACACATGCTTAAGTTCAAACCTATGCCTGATTTAGCAAAGGGGGAAAAAGTCCCGATACGTTATATGACGCCACCATGATGATATGAGTGTGACACCCCTGACCTACATCCTTGGTGTTTATACCTTTCCTAAGCACTTGTAAGCTCACTTCATTGGCTCAAAGTAAAAAACATGTAATTGAATGTTATCAGCAAACTAATGATACTTAACTCCATGCTTACAGATGACTTCATCCAGTGGCTTCATGCAGATGCTAAATCAGAGTGGAGAGAGAGCCCCAAGTAATTGAAAGAAAAGCAAAGTTACTTCATTCTCTTTCTGCATTGGTTTTTTAAAACAGCTACTTGCACATACAGCAGTCCTACTGCCTTCCTCAGTGATCTATGGCCCTTGGCCTAATTTCAATAGTCTTCTACAAACAATTAGTTCAGACCTTGGACAAGAAAACTCTTGACCCTGATCTGAAAGTCCAATGGGCAAAAAGGGCTGCTAGTTTTAGCCTTTTCTACAAATGACATCTGGCCTGGAATTGGCCTGGGCCCTGTATAGAAAAAAGATTTCTCACCCTTGCTTGAAATCATGGCTGTGCCTCCTTTTTGTGGGTCAGCACCACCCCAAACATTTTCGGGGAGCCGAGGGCTGCAATGGATGGAGCAATTGCACAAAATGGATGGGGTTATGATTTCAGAGTGGAATTTGGGGGAAATGTCTGTATTTTAAACTACATAAAGCCAATATTAAGATTCATAATACAGTTCTCCTGTATTTCCTGCCACAAATTGTAGAGAAACACAACAGAAATGCCTTGTATCAACAGAAAAAGGTATTGTGGGGGAAAATGATAGAAGATCATCACATACATCCAGAAATAAGAAATAGAAGCCATACTTCTTTGTACATGGACATGACACTGAAACATGTGGGGCTTGGATTGCCCTGGTGTGAACACTGTCTTGCCTGTTTTGATCTCCTTGTAGACACCTCTGCATTGGGCTATGTTATTGCTTCATTTATCATAATTCATTGAATGAGAAAAACCTGGAAGGATTCAAACATGCTAAGCAATAAATCAGAACTGCAGTACAAACCCAGCTTAGTTTGTTGGAATTGCAAAACTCATTAAACCAAGATAAAATATATTGCATGCCTGTATTTTTCTAAACCCGAAGTATCATATTATAATTTGTGTAGATTTTTTAGCATAAATAAAAAACAAATGTCTGTCCCATCATGTAATATAGATGTTGCAATCATATGATAGATTTTATTACATAATTAACAAAATGCAATTATTACAGAATATAAGAATATTTTTTTACAGAAAATAGATCTCTATATAATTTAGAGAATGTCCTATGAGTTTTCAGCTTGTGAAATACAACATATTATTTAACCAATTAAATTTATAAAATGAGGCAGACATATAGACAGTTACATTATTTTAAATCTACAGGATATTACTGAATGGTATAGGACCAAAGATTGCTGAAAGCTCCAGAATCTTTTTAAATAAGTAAACCATTCAAATATTTAACCACTCTCCTCAAAGAGTTAATTTGAAGACAAAATAATCATTCATACTTAACACTAAGAATTGGTGTTAAGGTACATTGGTAGAAATCTTAACAAGGCAGCTTGTTTTTTCCACGGTTACAAAAATTTAGTTAGCTAGTATTGGAACAGGTTTTGGTAAAGGATACAGGTGAACACTGGCATTTAATCTACATTTCCAGAAACACCATTAACAAATAAACCCAAATGGGCAGATTAAAATGCAGAGAAATACTGATACAAGGGAAAACCACTGAGACACACATTTATGTTCACAATGATTTTAATGAATATTTCACTTAGCACTTCACTTTTTTATTATCTTCTACACTCAAAAGAATGGTAACTTTTTCTGGTTTCATATCTACTTAATTCTGTAAGGAGAGTGAAAAAAACACACATATAACTATTGATTAAAGTATAGGTTTTGCCTTATAAGGCAAATGGCTGATGACTGCCAAATAAACTGCTGATAGGGCAATGCATTATATTGCTCAACGTGGGTTTGTTATCCATTATCACAGCAGACAACAGTTTCCATTCCATTCCATTATTTTTACTTCCCAATATGTAACACATACAAGAATAGCAATTCCAATGGTGACATGTACCAGCCTACTATTAACTTTGCAGCTCAAAGGCAGAACACACCTACTAATTTATAATAAGAATCACATTGAATTGGGCACATGGAAACTGAAGGTAGTTCTTATTCCATTGACCTAGCAAATTCAGCATAGTCGATATAACCATCATTATTCTTATCATCATCGTGCAAAACACCATCTATCAAGTTAATTAGTTCATCTTCTTTTATTGTCTGAACGTGTTCCCCATCACCCTAGAAAGGAAAAACAACAGATGAGTTCTATCAAGGAGTTGGCTTGGAGCCTCTCTTTAGTACTTGCTTCTTGATAATTATATTGCTAGAGAGTGAAAGATTTGAATGGATCTGGCAAATACATCAAAACTTAGAAGGTACAGTTCTCTACAGGTAGTCCTCAAAGTATAACCATTCATTTAGTGACTATTTGAAGTTACAATGACATTGAAACAAGCGATTTACGACCAGTTTTCACATGACTGGTGCAGCATTCCCATGGACACTTGATCAAAATGCAGACAATTGCCAAATGTTATCACAGTTGCACCATCCCAGTGTCATGTGATTACCATTTGTAATGTTCCAAGCCAGTTTTGAAATCAATGGGGAGACAGATTCGCTTAAGGACCACCAGATTCACTTAACAACCGCAGTGAGTTGCTTAACAACTGTGGCAAAAAAGATCATAAAGTGGAGCAGCTCTCACTTAAAAAACTGCCTTGCTTAGCAACAGAAAGTTTGGTCATATTTGTGGTCATAAGGCGAGGATTACCTGTATTTAAGTTTAATTTTCTCAAAATAATGCTGTATTTTTTTTTGCTGATTTGCTCCTTAAAGCTATTTCAAAGTTTTCCAATTTACAAAACTGATAATTCTGCTAGAACTATCTAAAGGTCTCTAGTACATATATATAACTATAACTATATAACTATATATAACTATATATAACTATATATAACTATATATAACTATATATAACTAACTATAACTAACTATAACTAACTATAACTAACTATAACTAACTATAACTAACTATAACTAACTATAACTAACTATAACTAACTATAACTAACTATAACTA